CAACATTAAACTTTGGGCCTTCTTAAGTCAGGCACTTGTGGTCCATAGAATGGCAGCAACAATTTTTAGACATGCTGAAATGTTATTTTAGGGACAGGCATGCAGATTGTGAAAACAAAATCAAAACAAATAACAATAAATATCATTTTCCCCACCCAACCAAGGAGATTCCCCAGAGTCAGGGCTGGTACACAAAGTTAATTACAAGACTGTGTGACTTATTGTCTGTAGCTTGCTTGTTTTATACAAAAATAAATATAAAGGGTAATGATTTCCACGTAATTGTTAACTATTATGCCTTTGCAATTCTAAACAGTGTTGTTTCTGAAACGAAAACCTCCATTTTTATGTGTGTAGAAATGACATATTAGCAAGAAAAATTAACTTTAAAAGGCTGATTAGCCAAACTACAAAAAATGGCATATTGTATGGGGTATCAACTTTTGGAAGAATCAAGAAACGATCTTTAAGTGTGGCCAGTTCACACATGGTGGGATTTCTAATTAGTTGTGTTAAAACGGAATGTTTTGAGACTTCCGGGTCTCAGCCGTGAGAAACCCTGTAGATTCCACTTGGTTCTCTGGAAACACCTGCTCTTGGAACCCAGAGCCACCTTGTAAGAAAACGGACTATAACTTGGTGAAGATAGCACAGGAAAAGGCTCGAGATTACATAAAAGGGGACGGGCAGGGCTGGCACTGACATTCTGACTGTCCCTGCCAAGACACTAGGCATGTGAGGGAACCAGTCTTTGCCCCTCCACTCCAGTCCAACCACCAGATGCTTCTCACCAAATGACCCCGGTTGACCTGTGGAGCAGACATGTTGTTCCACAGAGCCCTGACTCACAGAATCATGAGGTTCAATAAACTGTTGTCTTAAGCCACTAAGTTTTGGGATGGCTTGTTACTAGCAATATAGAATCAAAACATCCTTGTTAAATTTTTAGCTTATTTGACAAAAACCTCTCTTCACTTCTATGCTGCAGCAAAGGATTTGTTAGCTGCATTTTGGAAAACATTGTTTCAGGTGATAGATTTTCCCATCCATCAGCTCCTGTCCTTTTTCAGCCCATTTTTGCTTGTTCTTATCACTGTGATTCTTACTTCACACCAAGCTTTTCACTAATCCTGTCCTCGAGTCAGGGTGCACCTATGGATCTCTCGTCCAGCAGCCCAAGTGACTCCATATCAAACTTAGCTTAAATGGGGATCTCATCCCAGGCCTTTGTCCATGCCAGTTCTAGTAACTCAGGTTCTGTGTTTCTTGTGTTTCGCCTTTGTACTGTAGCCCCTGTAACTGGGCCTTAACCTTGTTCCTTCTGCTTAAGGGTCTAATCTGATAGCCTTTCTCATATTTTATTCTAGATTGGGATCCCTCCTTGTTTTCACCTGCGTTTTCATTTTCTATAGGTACTGTAAGAGTTGCCACACATTTAGCCACTTAAAACAACACCAATTTATTATCTCCCAGTTTTATAGATGTCGAGGCTCAGCCTGGCTCTGGTGAGTCTCTGCTCTAGACATTACCAGGTTGGAATTAAGGTATCGCAGGGATATATCCCTTTCTGGGGACTCTAGGGATGAATCTGATTGCCAGCTTCTTCATGTTGTTGCTTGAATCCCATGCCCCGCAGTGGTAGAACTGAAGTCCCTGTGTGGGTTGTTCTCAGCTTCTAGACTCTGCATTTCCTTGACTGGTGATTACAACAGGCCTCCCGGTGAATCCAGAATAGTCACCGACTTTAGGGTTTGTGGGTTGGTAACGTTAATTCTGTCTGCAAAATCCTTTCACATCAGTACCTGCATTAGTGTTTGATTGAATAAACAAGGGATGGGAATTATGGAGGGATATCTTTAGTATTCTTCCTTCTACAACCTATCATCTCAGGAATTAAAGATTTGTCTCAGAATCAAGGAGCTGAGTGCTTGCTACCACCCATCTACCCTGGCTTCTCTGATTCCCTGGCCAAAATTGGCTTCCTTTTGTCTATAATGTCAGTGTGACCTGTTTAAAATATTTCCATTACCATATTTTGCCCACTCACTTCAACTCCATTGACAGTTTCCTGCAGCCCCCGATGATGATTATTGACCTGGATTGCCATCTATTCATTCATCCATTCTTCATTCCTCCATTCAACAAGGACTTATTGAGTACTTATTATATGCCAGGCATCTTCCTAGAAGTGATGATATGGCAGTGAAAAGAACAAAGAGTGCCCTCAAAGTATGTACACATATAAATGTATGTATAACAATAGCAGACATATGCAATGATTACATAATGCAATTTCAAGTGTTGATAAAGACCATGAGGAAAAATGAAGGAGGAATGGTTCTATTGGACTTAGGGTGGTCAGGGATGGCCTCTCTGAGAGGTACCATTTAAGCAGAGACTTGAAGGGAGGGAAGAAACAAGTGTTTCTCTGGGACAAAATGTTTTAGGCAAAAGGCTCTGGATGGAGTTCATGCTTGGTACGGTAAGGAACAGCAGCTGGAGTGATGCACCAGGGTAGGGGAACTAGGAGGGAAAGTCAGGTAGAAGGCAGGCAATGGATCCCTGGAGACTTTGAAGGCCATGGAAAGGCGTGTTTTGTACTTTGGGTAAGGTAGGAAGGTATCGGAGAATTTTTAGCAAAGAAGCTAACTGATCTGACTCATGATTTTCTGTGATCATTCTGGCTGTGCCATAGGAAGCAGGAGGCCCGATTAGGAGGCATTTGCTGTTGTTCAGGGTAGAAAACGTTGATAGCTTGGACTAGGGGGATAGCAGTGGAGCAGCTAAGAAGAAGCTGTTCTTGCATAATCTGGAGGGAAGGGATCTCTGTTGTTTGTTCCTGGACACTAATATCCTGTCTGGCATGCCCACTGCAGTCATGGCTCCAGGCACCTCCTCTGGGTTCCACCTGTGTAGACTCTTGAGTCTTATCTTCTGCCCAGTCCTACCCAGCTCTAAAGTCTGAGCTCTCATCTTGAAACCGCGCCTAAAACAATGCAATGAAGATCTAAGGAGTGAAAGAAAACAAACACCTTTGAGGAGGCAAAGAGATAGTAAAGAGGCTCAAGAGCAAAGGAACAATCTAGGTACATTCTTACAATGCCTGGTAGGTACCAGACATACGTAAAAGTTGAGTAGGTTAACAGCCGCCAACACTTTTGTAGATGGAAGAATTCGGTTAACCTAAAACTAGTTCAGCCGCTGTTTTTGGAATGAGTCTACTTCCAAGTGATTAAGGAATACACTTTCCTGCTCCCCAAGACTGAGATGCTTTCAATAATGAATAAGCACAACAAAAGGTCTGTAGCTCCAGTTCAAGGCAAACCCTGACGAAGGCTGAAATAGGGAGACAAGATGCTACGGGCAACTAGAAGTGAAAAGAAAAATCAATATTATAGCAAACGTTATGAATTCATGTCAGATGAGGTCCTGGGCCTGCTTCGTATCTTTCTCCATTTCCAGGAACAGCCCGGATAGTTGATCGTCCTGAGATTTGATTCTTTTCACCTGTGAGATGGACATGGTGGGGGAACAGAGAAAAGGAAGTTACAGCCCCTTGCTTGTGTCTGCATTTAGACAGGTGATCATTCATTCTGTGGGAAAACATGAGTTTAATTGAACAGCCAAAACAATAAGACCTCAAAAAAGATTCTCAGGGAATCTAGGAATTAGAGATGATTGGGCCTTTCCCGTGTCTGTAGTGCCATTTCTAACCATTTTGTTCACTCTCCTAATCTCAAAGCTCCCCTCAGGACCATTTTTATGCCTTTGACCTTGTCTGAACCAGCTCATTATGAGCTGTGAAGGAGTTTGCAAGGTTAAATACCGATTTTTTAAAAAAACTCTTTCCAGCAATTTGCTAGTTTTCTAAGTCGAATTCTCTCTCCTAAAACAACAGTCCTTTGTACACTCTGAGCACTTGCCTCTCTTCTCGCTGCTTCTCTGATTCTCCATAGTTTCCTTGCTGTTTTTATTGGAATTTCAGGACTGCTCTTGCATTTACTCAGGGGGCCCACCGCACATTGGGCCATCGAAACGCCCCCCACATGTCTCCAATCTCACACAGTCCTCCATTCACCGCACGGTCGCCCCCTCAGACTCACATTCCATGCAGATTGAAGACTCTCACTGCTTCAAGGAGCTAGAAATTGATAATAAAAACCTAAAGTGCTTATCACAATGCCTGACACTTGGTAACAACTAGGTCATCATTAACAGTCATACAACATGATCGTCATCTGCAATATCGGGATCTTAAGACCTCATACTGGTCGTGGGGAGAAACATGTGGGGGAAAGTTTGTGAGATTTCTAATACAGGGCGTGACCCAAAGACATGGTCAACTGATCTTAGCAGTATTACGATGATGACTAAGTTTCTAGGCCATCTTTTAAAAGTTTAGGTGTTTAGAATTACTTCTTTAAAATCTATATATCCTACTAAGAAGGGAATTTAAAGCACATGAGTTCTGAAATATTATTCGATATGAGGGAGAAATTCCATGTTTGCAATGTACACTAAACAGTAAAGAGTTCAGGTTTAGAAGGAATCAATGTCCTTCGGAACCTTAATGCCATAAATTTGTTACCAAATGAATAGGCTTTTGCTAGTGAATGAATGCCAACTCTTTTTGAATCTCCAGGCATGCGTTAGTATTGACTCATTTTTTATGTGGCATAAGTTTATCTTTAAAAAAGTAAAAATGAAGCAGGTAGATTGTGGTGCTTGCTGTTCCTAATTTAACACCAGAATTTCAACACTAGACAGACTTTAGGGGGTGACAGTCTGATAAGAAGAACTTAAAACAGTAAGTCCAAAGTCCTGTAACCAATGTAGAAGAAGTATGAATTGTCTATGCCAAACCGAAGAAGAATGGTAGAAATTACAGAGGAGCCTAGGCCTTCCTTAAGTCCTGGCTTGGTCCTACTGTTGTTATGGGAAAATTAAAAATAAATGGACAATAGCTTCCAACTCTAAAACATATTATATGCAGTACATACTTTAACCTAGTTTACAATTAACATTTATTATGCCCACTGAAACCACAAAGCCAATGTTTAATTTTACAGTTTAAAGTCACACATAGGGAAATGCTTTACAAAATAGGATATTGTTCCTCAATGAAAAATATTACAGTATACGTCCCAAACGACTCAGTTCAAGTAGTTTTCCTGAATAACAGAGCTGTCGTGGAATGCAGGCTACAAGACACAGTAATGCTTTCAATAGTCGATTCAGGTTCAAAATTTGCCAAAACTGAAGAGACATTTTAAACAAGACCCGTCTTAGTTTCCCAAGATTTTGGTTTTTCAACTGCATTAACATTTATGGAAAAATACCATCACTTCTGAAAAGTTGAAGATAGTAAGCAGTTTACATTTTACTGCTTATATACAACAACATGTCAATCTTCAATATTTTACTCTACCTTGAAAACATGTTTCAAGATTTAAAAATGGCAGTTGTACCCACTTAGGTTGATCACCTGTTTTTACTCACAGACTCTACTATAGGAATCAAATATTTGTGCCACTGGTTACATCAAATTAAATACATTTCTGCAATCTGTTTAGTTACCTGCGGTCTATTTACAAAGCATGCGTATGATTTCTGCTCATACATCATACTAAAATGTAAGCAGTATTTGTCAACTCCTATGTTTATGTCATGCCCGAGTGTGTAACCCAAAAACACCATCCAGAGACAATGTATTTTTCTTAATCCAAAGTCTAGTCTCACAAAGTCCCACACATGATCTCCTATTCTATTCTTCTATTCTCCTATACTCAGTCTGGGTTGAAGTGCTTCTAATATGCTGTGGATTGCTAAAGAAAAGACCAAGAAGTAGTAGCCAAGTGTTTACAATGGACATAAAATATCGCAAAGCTAAAAAGAGTCAGGCTAAATATACACACAAGTTTGTATACAGGAAACAAACAAGTTCTTTTGAAAGGTAGATTTGAAAGGAACACCGAGGGCTTAGTAAGTGATGAAACCTGACTCCTCTGAAAGTCTGTTCCTCTAGCCTGACGCTTGTCAAGTTTTGATGTCACCTTAAAAATCTTTGATGTACCTATAGCTTATGTCATTGAACCCTGCTGAGCAGACTGACCATTCGATGCAACTTCCCAAACAGGGAGTATCAAGTTGTGCCCTGCCTTGACCCAAAACTGAGTTCTCTTTTGCAAATTGAAAAATCATGCAGAATAAAATGGTAACTCAGAAATCCCACACTTGACAGTTGATCACTGAAGATATTAGCACCTTGATAAAAATTACGGTTGTTCATTGGATGTGCTAAAAGAAAATGAAAAAAGAAAAAAGAATGCTGCTTTATTTACAAATCACAGTTTTCCTCACAGTGTTAGACTTTGGATCACTCTGATGTGGCCATGCCTTAAGATGATGGGCCATTTGGTTTTTCATTTGACCTCCAACAGTCCACATGGACCAGTTGGTGGAGCTCCAGGATCAGAACCACAGGTAGCCAAGTTACTGCTAAAGTGCTACTGTATTAAGAAGGTGCAATTAACTGGGTTAACTAATATGTACATTTCAGTCTTGGTCTCTTTTAAAACCAACAACTTCTAACAACATGTTCTGTTATTTTTTTTCCCCACAAAATCTGCATTGAGAATTATGGTATCATTGCACCAGAAAGACATTTGGCAGATCGAATACTTTTGTGATCTGAACATCATGTATATTTGCATTTTTGTCTCACTAATGCAATCGGTTCTTATTTCAATATGTTCCCATATGTTAATGGACTAGAAGATAATTATACATTATAGACTGATACGTTTCGTGATCCTATAACTTGAGAAGTATTTCTCTAGTTCATGCTGGCAGGGAGATTATTAGGAAGATTTTTTTTTTCAGTGGACTAATTAGCTAAACTGATCTACCTGTTTGATAGTCTAAAACTACAGGTTGTTGGCAAATAAGAAAAATGATAGAGAAAATACACGAGTTCCTTTTTGTGTGTCTAAGTAATAGATTACCTTGACCCTGACCTTGGTTCTATAACTTTGGATGATCATTTCTGTACTCACGGTTATTCATTTATTAACTTTGAAATGTTAAAAATATAAGGGATTTTTATCGCCTCAAGTTTAATTATAAATAGATTAGTAATAGTCCCCAATCCTCAGCCATAAACTGTTAGCAAAATTCGGCCATTATTAATTTCAATCTTATTTCACAAAAAAAGTGAACTCTAAGTCATACACGGGTTCTGGACTTCATTGAATCTGGTTGTTGTGCTCACCTAAACCATTACAATGACCTTGTTACTAAGGAAGGAGTCAAGGGGGGAAATGTCAGAACCAGAGATTGATCTGGTCAATTGTATATCCAAGGGTGCTTTGCTTTATTGCTGTGACCAGACTGAAATCCTAGTCAGAGGCAAGCTGATGTGATCAAAGGTGTCCCTGCTTGTCCCAAGTCCTGTTTGCACTCCATGAGATTCATTAGTAGAGTACAAAGTCACACTCTATCAATGGAGACCCCATAGCCGTAGAACTACCCATGACTACTAATATTTGAAAAACTTAAATTCAATTTGTTTACTCTCCCTATCGAATCCTACCAATACTAGAGACTAAATGATTTTAACTTTTAAAGAGTGTTTTTAAAGCAGCAAAGGACAATATTTGGTTTTATTATCATCAGTGTCTCTTGGGAAGTTATGTGTACACAAATTTCATATAATACATCAACAGCTCCTTGTCCAGGTTTATCAGTGAAATGAATGGACCTGATTCTCAACTGTGTCTTAGCTTCTATGGGAAGCTTCCAGCTATCTACACCAAGTTTGGAACTTAGACCTTAGTTGCTTGAATAAGTGTTTTTCTTATCTGTGACTTGGAAGAATTAGTATTAATGAAACCCAAAAGACCGATTAGTGTAACTACAAGTAATGAACACTACTAGTTAAGAAAGATTAAATTTAAAACTTCCTTAGAAAGGAAAAGTGTATTATCAGAATAAGGATACGTGGAGAACATATACATATATGCCTGTTTCACGCAGAAAGCCTTCTGTAAAAAAATACGAAAGCAACCAGTGTTGTATATTATGTAAACTCACAAAGTGTACTTTATACACAAACATGAAGCATAAATTAAAAGTAGGACAACAGCAAAACATTTTAAATATAGAATTTGCACATATTTTTGTTAAATAAGAATAAATATTTTTATCACACAAATTCACATACCAGTCGCAAAAACAATAAATTACTTTTTTTTTTCAGTGCTGCAACTTTATTTTTGTTTGTGATAAATCCCTTAATTCTTAGTTTAATGGGATAAAACTGTTTCCACAGGAAGGCAAAGGAAGTTGAATTGACTGAATAGATCAAAATAACACCCTTAAACCTTTAAACAACAAGGCAGGGCTTAATTTGGCCTTTTCTGTTCCAGAAGAAAGAAATGCTGTTTTCTTCTGGGCTCCCTTTATTCAGTGAAACTTAATCTGGAGTGTTTTGTTTTGTGGGATTAGATTCTTAACTAACCTGAGCATTTTCAGACAAAATTTTTTTTTTTTTTTCCCTAAGGAAGGAGCCTCAGCATCATGAATCGCAGACTCTTTTTTCACGATGCAAGTCTGGAAAGGTGAAATGAATAGTCCAACATTCAACTGGACTGAACTAGATTTCATTATGGAGGATTTTCCCTTTATCATTCCTTATATCTACTGAACACTCCATTTCTCTGAATTTCAGTTTCTAGTCTATATCGTTTTTCTCAGGAGTTTAGATAGACATACATTCCTCAGTCAATCTATCAATACTCATATGAAAAAACTAAAGAAAACTCCTTAAAAGCATGGAATAGTGGTTTATTCCTTTTAAGTTCTCTAGAGTTGTTTCATTGAGAAGTATAAAACTTCTTTATATGGGGGAAAAATAATGATAGTTCGTGCTAAAAAACCTCTATGCATACGGTATAGAGGAGCAGAGTAGGAGACAAGCATGTTTGCCCTTCAGTTATTTCTTAACGTTGCTGTGAATATAGCCACAAAAGATAAAAATAAACTTTATCAGAATTGATTAAAATTATTTCAAAAATTGGGAAAAAGTAATGTCGGCCTCACTATTAATTCTCTTGGAATAGTCAAATAGTTGATGTAATTTAAAATTTTTCTTCTGACTGATTTGACTAGCTTCCTTCCCTCTCTCTTTTATCTGGTGACCTCCATCAAATGTATGGAGGCCAAAAGTTCTATATGGGCCTCATTTCCCTAATGAATAATTTATTAAGAATAAATGACCACGTTGGGGCGCCTGGGTGGCTCAGTCGTTAAGCGTCTGCCTTCGGCTCAGGTCATGATCTCAGGGTCCTGGGATCGAGCCCCGCATCAGGCTCCCTGCTCAGCGGGGAGTCTACGTCTCCCTCTCCCTCTGCCTCTCCCCACTGCTCCTACTCTCTCTCTCTCTGTATCTCTCTGTCTCAAATGAATAAATAAAAAAAAAATTCTTTAAAGAATAAATGACCACGTCTAAAGGAAAGACCGTCTATGAAAAGCCAAAGGATGATTATCAGTTTTGTAGAACAATTATCTGTTTTACCAAGTAATTTCCTAAGAAAATATTTAAAACAGTGAGACATCCATTCTTCTCTCCCACTGAAATGAATGTGATATAGCTAGATCAATTACATTAATTCTTTTATATTAAAAATATCTTCTAATAAAAATAAACTCTTGTGAGCTTAAGGGAACTCAAACAATGGTCCCCTAACGTCTTTATATGCAAATCTTTAAGAGTAGGCACATTTGGTACGATTATTATAAAATTTTATAACAAACAGTTGGCTTTGTAATATTTCATAAAGAAAAAAATTCCAATGAAATTGAACACCTTGGATTTTCTGAGCTATGGGGTGGAGGGGTGCAGTTTACTGTTTAAAAAAGGATTTTTATGCATGTGATTGTAAAACTTTTCCATATCTAATAACCGAACTTAACAACCTACCTAGACAGACTACGGAAATAGAAGCAACAAACTTCTCAAAAATCATCACATTTCATCACTCAAACACTTAGGGGTACAACCAAATGCTTTCCAATTGGGAAAAATCTTAAGTACACTATCAGTATACTTGGATTTAAAAAGAAAATGCAAAGAATTATTGCCTGTACGGTGTGGAAACAGTCTTATTAATACTAACCACTACTTTTTTTCTGCTTGAGCCACATTAATGATAACCACGTCTAGATGTGGCCAACTACAAAGTGATCTTTAATACTCCTATCAAACTAAGTCAACAAGAAGTACAAAACATTGCAGGTCTTAGAGAACCCTTAGACAGACAAGCAAAAACAAACACATTTTAAAGGCTTGCTGGTAAGAGGTATACCAGTGTTGAAGGTTTTGGATGCGAACAGAAAACTCTCTGCAGTGTGTTTCGTATGAATATTAGACAATATAAGGTATCAGATGAAAGCTTCCGAACGGGGAAAGTGGTGTGAGAATATAAATCGAGACTATGGTGAAATATGGTCTTTTTTTTTTCCTTTTAAATTCTAACATGAGGAAACTAGTTTTTAGGGTGAGAAACTAGTTTTCAGACTCTTGAATACTCATAACATACACACACGCAAACACTATTTCTACATCCTAATTATGCCTCAGTTCGCCTGGCTGCCTGAAAAAATGCAGGCAGTCAAAAGTTTAAGGAAATGGACCCGTGTATGTATTTAAATGACTAGATACACTGAGATCCTTTTTCTTCTTAGAATTTCTCAGAAGATGCTTGCTGTCAAAAATGGTTTTTGACTAAAATTTGATCTCCTGTAGTCTGAAAGTATGCAAAATCCTATTAAAACTGCAGCAAGTTCTTCATTTCCAGTAAAACATCCACAGCTCTTTCTGGAAACTAGAAAAAGTTGAAATAGCTGCAGACCTACTTTGGTCAAACATTTTTTATAGAAATATATGTGTGTGTGTGTGTGTGTGTTCTGTATACACACACACACACACATATTTTTAATAGAACCAAGTGATATAAAGTGACTTATCAAGGGAGAATGTATTTACAAACAGTAAAAATAAGCTACTGTGTATTGTGGATGATAATGATTATGATGCCTCTGAAGACATTCTAGAAGAGGTAGGTGACAAGGGAGACTGGTGTTCTGCCATCTTCAAATGTCCCCTGATTCTACATTCATCAGTGTTTTTTCATTCTTGTAGCCCAGGGGATGTTCAATAACTCCCAAGTGTTTCTTAGATTCCAAGGTCACCACTGTTCACACGGAACAGTGTACATCTTCCTTTGGTCACCGAGAGCAGATTCTGCCCATAATTAGACTCCTGTTGACAATGCCATCGAGGTGTGACTTTCTGTGCTTTAGGTAGACCTCTCGTTCACCACGACGGATCACCCCCATTGGCCAAGACTGCTCCGTGATGAGACGCCCAGTTATCTCTGCAGAACCTCATCACCACAGGCTAACATTTCTTGAGTAAACATTGCTTAAACGCGGAAGGCCTCTGAGAGAGAAGGCATCCCTTCGCTAACTTGCGGTTGGCGTCCTGGCACTGCACGGTCCTGGTGTGCCAGCCCATGTCACAGGTTCGAGAACAGGCAAGCCACGGGCCCGTCACCCACTGCAGCCGTGGACTGGGCGAGCCCACTTTATTGCTGCCGTGGCCGGTGACAGAGTTGACTTTTGGGGTGGACTTCTTGGGAACAAAAAAACTGTAACGGACATCTAACGCTTTAGTTGGATCGGTTGCAAGAATCTGCACTATGAGAATTTCCTTCGTGGCTGAGTAGCCCATCCCGTGCAAGAAGTCGTCTCTATGGCTCCAGCCGCTGTAGTTCATGACGGTTCCATTGATGTCGATGATGGTTTCTGAGGTGGAGATCATGTACTTCCCATTGATGAGGTACTCACCGTTTTTCTTCTTCAAGGCTAAGTAGGCAGTGAATCGAGTCTGGTCTTTGGCTTTGAACTGTCGAACTTTTATGTGGGTTGCCCCTTCGGGGATCCTCACCACGTCAGTGTAACCCTTACTGGAAGCAAAAATGTCCCCAGAGGAGAGAGGGGGAGAGAGAGAGAAGAGAGAGAGACAGAGAGACAGAGAGAGAGAAGGAAAAAATAAGTAAACACTTAATAAATGGATAAACAAATCAAAGTTCTCTAAAAGTCTTTATCTTAACACAAAGTTTTAATGTAGTTAAGAGATTCATTTAAAATTAGCTTCAGGGCGCCTGGGTGGCTCAGTTGGTTAAGCGACTGCCTTCAGCTCAGGTCATGATCCCAGGGTCCTGGGATTGAGTCCCACATCAGGCTCCCCCTGCTCTGCGGGGAGCCTGCTTCTCCCTCTGCCTCTGCCTGCCACTCCCCGCTTGTGCTCTCTCTCTCGCTGTCAAATAAATAAATAAAATCTTAAAAAAAAAAAAATTGGCTTCAAAGATTAGTTTTCTTATAACAAAATAGAATTACAATTAGACTATGATATTGTATACATTTTTATTACGATGTTCAAAATTAGGATGATGTTAGCAACCTGTCTTTTTTAAAAAATGTATGCCAGCTTTATTTAACATTACAACATCCTTATCAAATCCTATCGTTCCGGCACAAAATGGGATATATGTAAACACAAACAAAAATCTGCCCTCAATCTCATAGAAAGCTTTAAATTAATGTCTCAAACTCATTTGCATATTAAAATCATGTGGAGATCTTTTAAAAATTTAAATCCCCAGACCCCAGGCCAATTAAATCCCATCTGTCAGGATGGGGCAGAGGCAGCAGGACTTTGGGAGTTGTTCCAAATGTGCAGAGTAGTTGGGGAACCATGGATTTAACTGTTGAACTAGAGACGGAGTAGAAGCTCTGCTTCTATTTCTACTAGAACACTGGATTTCTTGAGCAGAACACACATGAAATATAAAATTCTGTAAGTGGGTAACCATAGCTTACCAGTATCATCAAAAGAAAAAAAAAATGAATCTTTAATGCCATAGCAAATTTCCTCAGATACTTCGTGCCCATGAACATTATGATAGATTGAGTGAGCTTATATGATGGGTGACAAATAAAGTAGGTCTCTAATGAGCCATCATCTGCTCAGGAAAATGGGCAAAGGCATCGATACCTCTAGTACTGATCACAGCTTTTGAAAAAGGCTAGGACAGAAATGCTAATTAAGTGCCAAGGGACTATACCAGTAAGGAGTCATTTGTGAAACTCTTTGCCTCTATAAGCAAGTTTATAATAAGGTCACCACATGTTTTGCTTTCTTAGCTATTTGAATATAAATAAATAAATTGTGAAGTTTGATGTGTGTGAAATTTAATTATCTACTGTTAAAATTCTTATTCAGGTTTAGAGGTGATAGGGCAACTGATTCATACCCTGAAAATCCAAGTGTATTTTCCCTGCCCAGCCATTCCCTCTAAATTAGAGGGGAGGCTCCTCCCCAGGGAAGCGCACTGTCTACTGAGCATCTGTTGGACAGACTTATGGCCACACAGGTGTCAGAGTTTCTTATTGAGTTGGGAGAGATGATATTGCTTATCCAGTCAACGTGACTCATTATTTTTAGTTTTGTAAGACATTTTGGATTAGGATTTGTTACAGGACTTTTTTTTTTTTTTTTTTAAGTATCTAATAGCAAGAGGTCATATGCAAACCTACAGTGGCTTCGAACAAAACCAGGAGGGATGTTGGAGAGAGTATCTCGTCTTACATAGAAAACATATGAAGTGGAGGTATATTAAAGTATTTGAACAAGTGCACTCTAGATCCAGTGGCAGTGCTAGGCTCAAAAGCCATGGCCCCTTACTCCTAGTTTACTCCTTTCCCAATATCCCCCCCACCCCTTACCTCTGCCAGTCATACTTTCTGACAGTTACATGAAAATATGTTCCGGTTATATTCAGAGTTTAAATGATACCTATCACAGTGTAAAGCAAATAAAGAATGCAGGGTAAGGGAATCAGGTAGGAGAGCTTTTTTTCTATCCTTATTCCTGAGAATCTGTCTCAGATTCATGAGAATCCACTGCAGGGGTCTTCAGGCTGAGCTTCATAAGGCAACGGTCAGTGGGAGGACTGGTGCCTTGATCTCTTAGTGCCTTGGTAAAATAGGATTCTCTTGTTCTGGTACTGAGCAATGGAAGGACTGAGTTGCCACATACTGAGATGAAGAACACTGAGAGAGGGGTGAATTAAGGTAGGGTCATATTCGTGAAGAGGTTTGAGCTGGAAGAAATATTTTTTTTCCTAAGATTTTGTTATTTATTTATTTATTTATTTGTGAGAAAGAGAATGAGAGACAGAGAGCATGGGAGGGAGGAGGGTCAGAGGGAGAAGCAGACTCCCCGCTGAGCAGGGAGCCCGATGCGGCACTCACTCGACCCTAGGACCCCAGGATCATGACCTGGGCGAAGGCAGTCGCTTAACCAACTGAGCCACCCAGGCGCTCCGATGAAATATTTTAATATGCATGATCTCACTGGATCCTCACAGCAATATTAACTTGCAAGAAAATTACTATTAATTCCATTCGACTCTCAAGAATTCTGATAGTAAAAAAAAAAAAATGAAGTGACTCTTGAGAGATCATACAGATCTCGATTACAAAGATCTCAGCTCCAAGATCAATGTCCTTTTTTATACATCACAGTAGGCCAAGGTAATTTATTTGGAAAAGTTAAACAGATCATTTGTACCACATAATATAATCTTGGTCAAATCCATTTGCAAGCTATCAGGTTGCCCACTGCTTGTCACTATCAGGAATTCCTTCATCTTTTTATGGGACAACACATGTGCAGATATTGGTTGCCAATCCAAAGAACAAAATGCCAAATTTAGTATTTATTTTTAATAAATAAACAGCCACTTTTTATGGCTTATAAGTTTATGTAGGAAGAATATACAGAACATTTTATTAGTACATAAGGTATTTTATTTCCTATTTGATTCCTGAATTTCTTCCTCTTCCTTCCTTCTTTCCTTGTTTTTTTTTTTTTTTTCCTTCTTATGACCTAAGGTATAGCCTTTGCTTTGGCATTCATCAGCTATGCAAAATTAGATAAGCCCTAAACTTTCAGAGTCCCAGTTTCTTCATTTGTAAAACAATAAGGCAGACTTCATCATTTCTAAGGTGTCTTGCATATTTGCAATATATAAAAATGCAGTATATGATCGACTTGTGGGGTATTTTATAAAGATAGCTCAATACAATTGGATGAATAATTGCTAAATCACTAGAAAATAGGATTAGTAATGCATATTTAAACTCAGAATAAATTCTTCAGCCATACCATTTTTTTATTATATCAAGGATAATTTCCAGTTTTCCACAATAACATGGCATGAGATTGTCTTAATAAATCCTTACTGTTAATATGGTTTGCATATTACCCTCCAGTTAAAGACAACATAACACATACATCAAGAATATGGGGGTGCTGGACCAATACCACTCAGCATAAGAGTGGTTTGGTGAAGAAAAAAGACAATCCTGCATTCCAGCAGACACTTTAGCTGGCTCCCTCATCCTCACTGATAACATAATATTTAATGCCAGGGGTGCCTGAGTGGCTCATTCAGTTAAGTGACCGATTCTTGGTTTCGACTCAGGGCATGATCTCATGGGTCATGGGATCGCGCCCCATGTGGAGCGCTGGGTCAGGCTCCGTGGGGAGTCTGCTTGAAGATTCTCTTCCTTTGCCCCTCCCCTCACTTGCACTTGGGCAAAAAATATTTAATTCCAGAAACTGGTACTTTATAAACTTACATATTTAAAATGAAAGCATAATCAAGGCCCATAAGAAGCAGCAGACATTACTGTATGTATATTCTTTATACAGTAGATACAAACCAGGAGAGGTCATTATAAAATGATATTATCGTCTACACCCCTGCCACTAACTTATATTTTGCAATGAGAGATGTCTCCTCAAGAAAAATACAGCCTAGTCAACATTTGTCTGTAAAACGAAATAATTATGATGGAAACTGGCCATCCTTCCCTAAATGATGTTTCAGGAATAATAGATCTGCCAAAGATTGCTAGTGGGGATGTCACAGCTTTTTTCTTTTTTCTTTTTAAAGATTTTTATTTATTTATTTCAGAGAGAGAAAGAGAGTGTACACAAAGGGAGAAGCAGGCTCCCCGCTCAGCGGGGAGCCCGATGCGGGGCTCGATCCCAGGACCTCAAGATCATGACCTGAGCCGAAGGCAGACGCTTAACCGACCGAGCCACCCAGGTGCCCCAGTCACAGCCTTTTTCTTTTCAGTGTTTGCACGCTGCAAGATCTTGACCTCAGAGCCACTGCAGTGTACCTGCTTCCAGAGGGGCTGAGAGTTTGCACTCTGCAACCAGAACTTTCTCTCCCGCCAACCCCCCTGCCCCACCTTGGTTCTCAATGCATGATACGTTACTAGGGCCATGCTGGGCCACCTCCCGCAGACAGCTTGTGACGTGACACGAGGCCCCTTCTTCAGTCGCGCAAGTCTAAAGCTTTGTTTGATTCCTGTCAGGGCAACGATTTATCACCTTACCTTTTTTTACTGAAAGTCCCGACCACCTTTGTGCAACTGGAGTTGTCCCCCCCACACACGGCACACTTGTCATACTGCAGCTTCGAGCCGATGACACCGTCACAGCCAGTGCGGACGCACTTGCCCCGGACGCACACGGAGTTACTGTACGGCCTGCATTCAGTCCCATCCGCCACCTGCATAACAAGGACCCCGTGAGCGGCGGGAAGATATCTGTGCACAGGTACTTGGTGTCCATGGTAAAACAGCAAGTTCTAACACGTGGAGTTTTGTGTTTGACTGGGATAGCGCATCGGAAAATAGACGACCAACCCCAAACCATAGTGCCCTGAGTATCTTTTTTGTTTTTCTAAGATTTTTTATTTTTTATTTATTTATTTTTTAAAAAGATTTATTTATTTATTTATTTATTTGAGAGAGAGAGAGAATGAGAGACAGAGAGCATGAGAGGGAGGAGGGTCAGAGGGAGAAGCAGACTCCGTGCCGAGCAGGGAGCCCGATGCGGGACTCGATCCCGGGACTCCAGGATCATGACCTGAGCCGAAGGCAGTCGCTTAACCAACTGAGCCACCCAGGCGCCCGATTTTTTTTTTTTTTTAGATTTATTTCTTTGACAGATCGAGAGAGCACAAGCAGGCGGAGCAGTGAAGGAGAGGGAGAAGCAGGCTCCCCACCTAACTGGGATCCCAATACGGGGCTCGATCCCAGAACCCTGGGATTATGACCTGAGCCGAAGGCAGACGCCTAATCATCTGAGCCACCCAGGCGCCCCTGCCCCAGAATATCTAACTGAAAAATCCTTGATGTCTTGGCAGTAGCAGATCCGGGATAAATCTGGGTTATGCCTTTTCTCCCTTGAGCTTAATTCCAAATACGCCAGGAGACCCAAGGTATTCACCTTGCTTTCTGCATGCAGAGCACAGCCCCCTGGTACGCTCTTGCCTTTCTACATCGATAGAAGCAATCATTTCGCTTAGCCTGGGGGACTTGTCACTTGTATGGAGAGCAGAAAATGAGCAGGCTCAAGATCACCGAGATCCCTCTTTGGGACATAATGGTTACTATAGTAATACATTTGAGAATCTGAACTTGACATTCAGAACCTTGTTAATGGCTGGAAAGCGTTCCCTATCACGGGCTGAACTGTCAGATGCTGAAATAGAGACCAAAAAATTAGTGGAGAAAGAGTCTGGGGAACTCAGAGGGAAGTACTTACTGGGAGACACTGAATATATTTTGAGTAAAGGAATCAGTATATACTTAAAAAGCTAGTTATAAAAGAGTACATATACATATATGGACCCTGTGGTTTGTGCATGTGAGTATATATAAATAACATACGTAGTCGTATATGTAAATAAACCGATGTGTTTTGTATCTGTGTATATACAATTCTTTTCATATGCGTGTAAGTATGTGAGTGTGTGTATGTGTGTGAACTAAAGTAGGGTGTCCAACAGGCTCACAGCTCTTCAGATGGTGGCACTGCCAGGTGATATTTCTGCTCTTATTCTTTGTCATATCTTTTAAATGAAAATGTATTATCTTACAATAAAAAAAGTATTTTAAAAATTGCATAAGTTGGACGTTAACTTATTTTTCTGTCATATTTCATACAAATCTGAAGGCCCCTTTCAGAGGTGATTTGAAATGTAGCACCTGCTTACAAATTAGATAAACAGTATTTTAAATTGCTGCATAACACTGATTGTGAGAAATAAAAGTGTTAAAAATGCTTTCCTGTGAAAAATCAGGGATAATTTCATGTGCATATATTATAACGTCTATAACTATAGGGACATTGATTCATATTAAGGGTGCAAGACATTTAAAGGTTTGGGTCCGAGAAGATGATCTTGAAACCTATCTTCATAAATCATCAAAGGAATTCTTAATTAAATGATAGAAAAGTAGAAAGTTTTCTTGCTTTCAGTTTCCTGTACAAACGTACCTAGGAAATTCTAGTTGTTTCCATGGCAGTTTTGAAATGAAGGTCGCACCTCACCTTCTCTGACAGAGAGTTACAACTTTTCAACAAACAGCTTTTAAAACATTTACTTGGTTTACAGAATGATTTTTGTTCTTTGTATAAGGTTTGCAAACATAGACACTATAGAGATGAAAACAAAATGCTCCCAAATCTAGTCAGCCGATAAATAATGACTGTTGATATTTGGTATCTCTAGGCTTTACTCTACCAAATAATTTCCCGCAAGGAAGTCTGCTGTTTCTGGACAGTTGGTGTGCAATTACCTTTGGAGAAAACACCACATAGTATCCGGTGCCCTTAGCTCTGCAGGTCAGTTTGCACACGTCCCCCAGCAGGACGCCTGCATATTTGGGAACCCATTCCACAAACGTTTTGACTCCTTTTGCGTCAGACTGATACCCGTTTTTGGCCTCACACTGCTCGTGACGAAAAGATTTACCTAAAAAACAAACATGTCATGGTATTACTTTGTGTATTCTGAAACTTAGACATAGTCTTGTGCATTGAAGTAATTTTAACAAGAAGATGCGAACTTTATTTTTCAGACCCTCTTCACACACCACCAGCACTGGATTTTATCTGTACACGGGAGTTGAAAGCAACTATTATTTCCTTCCTACTCTCTAAATACCTAATTGTTTTTAATAATAGTTTAAAAAATCACTCATGTATTTGTTATTGATTTGCACACTGGTGGAACCGTGTGGTGCGCGATTAACAGGTTATTTCTCCAGCCTCCTTTATATATTACTGCTTGAATACAAATTACACGTGGCACACGGTGGCTGCTGACACTTGGGAGTAGCGTACCGTTCGGTGGGCAGGGCGTGACGTTGCAGGAGCGGTAGATGGCCCTCTTCCCCGTGCAGTAGCGGCCACTGTTTCTGGGTGCGGGGTTATTGCAGTGCCGATGGGCAAACTGCACTCCTCCCCCACATGAGCGAGAACACTGGCCCCAGGACCCCCAGGATCCCCAGCTGCCATGGCTTGATGTCTGAAATGGAAAACAGAAGACATTTTAACACAGGAGGGAGAAAAAAAGAACTTTCAAAATGTACATTTGGAAATCACTTGCATTCAATATTCAGGTATAAATAAATATATAATATATATATAAATATATATTATTCAAGTATAAATTTTCACTGAATTGAACATGGCCACAGATATTGGACATCCTGGAATTATAGTGTAATTCCAAGTCTAAGCGAGTCATCTCTTCTGCTCCCTGCTGCCCCCCTCCCCTCCCCCCTCCCCCTACCCTCCCTTCCCCGGGCACCAGGATCTGAATGTTTCCCTGGCAGTACTGAGCACACAGGTTTCTCTGCACTTTCTGATATGGTGCATTTCTGTTAACCACTTGAACCATAGCTAACTTTCCGTCAACTCTGATCCTTCATCTTTGACAAAATAAATGATGCTAAAGGTTTCGCATGATGCCTGGAAGAGTTGGTTCTATTTACATTTTTTTCTCCCTGTTTGGCGCTGACGTTCTGCATCGCTTTGTTGATATCACACATCCCATCAGACAGATCCTCTGTCACATGCATAAATGTATTTGACCTGAGCTGGGCTTCAGTCCTCATCAGACCAGAGTCCTTTTCCGTAGAGAGGGACTGTGACAGATATTGAAGTGCACTCACCCCCCAGGCACACATCACGAGCGCCCACACCACGGGGGAATAAAAGACTCCAGGTCTATCATTCTGGAAACATGGTAGCAGGAAGCGGAGCGACTTCCAGAGGGAAGAATATTATAAACTACCTTGCTGAAGGACTGGGTGGAGAACTTCCTGGGGCTGCTGTGAGAGTATCTGAGAGGGCACGGTTGTGGGGTAGTCTTTTTTTAAAAGATTTTTTATTTTTTATTTGACACAGAGAGCACAAGCAGGGGGAGCGGCAGGCAGAGGGAGAAACAGGTTCCCGGCTAAGCAGGGAGCCCTATGCGGGGCTCGATCCCAGGACCCCGGGATCATGACCTGAGCCGGAGGCAGATACTTAACCTTGTCTGAGCCACCCAGGCGCCCCGTGGGATAGTCTTGAAGGACATGAGCATTGTGCCCTGTGTCAGTGCTCTCCTCGGGACTTTGAAACTCAGAGGAGAGCCAGCAAATGCTTTGCTTGGGCCTCTCGAGGAAACATATTTGACCCGGGAAAGAAAGACTTCTTGAGATGGTACCCACACATGTCACAGGAATGGACCTCAGATCCCGTGTCTCCAGGCATTGCGTGACAAGCAAATCACTTACCGAATAATATTTTTTCTTGGTTTTGTCCACACACTTGCCCTGCAGGCAGATCCTCCCTTTCCCACATGGTGTCCCCTCCACGGCTGGCAGCTTCTTGGTGAGACACACCATCTGGCCCTGGCGCACGACGGCGCACCAGAGGCGGGCGCACACATCCATGCCGGGGCACACGGAGTACTCGGGCCCAAAGGTCAGGTTGCACTGCTGCGTGGCGTCGTACGTCTGTCCCGGCAGTTCTTCGGGGCCCAGGATCTGCTTGCGTGGTAGATCCAGCAAACAGTTACCTAAAAGAATAACCGAGATGGAACACTGTTCCCTGTTTCCGTTTCAAGTTACTAAAATCGTGGATCTGAAAATGCAGTGCTCCAGGTGCTGTGGGAGCGTCAGGCACGCACAGACCTGCAGGCTGAGGCCCTGGACGGGGGACTCCCCCGGGGGAGGAGGGGGGACTCCCTCCAGGAGGGAGGGCAGCACCTCTTTGCGTTCACCAACCCCCTCCAGGATTTTTTTTTTTTTAAAGATTTTATTTATTTGACAGAGACACAGCGAGAGAGGGAACACAAGCAGGGGGAGTGGGAGAGGGAGAAGCAGGCCTCCCGCGGAGCAGGGAGCCCGATGCGGGGCTCGATCCCAGGACCCTGGGATCATGACCTGAGCCGAAGGCAGACGCTTAACGACTGAGCCACCCAGGCGCCCCCACTCCGAGATTTTCAATGGGCTATGTAGTCTGGGGCATATCTAATGATGGCAGTGGGATGATCAAATAAAATTATTTTGTAATAATTAGTTGTGAAAATAGCCATTGTGCTGAGGGACTAGGAGAAATCGGGATGGACCTACAGGAAATAATATAATGGACATAACAACAGCAACAACAATAATAGTAAATAAGCATTTACAACTCTGAGAAACAGTTCATCCGTGTGCTCTATTTATAGGCTTCTTGACTTTTAGCTTTTCTCTTCCTCATGTGCCCACCCAAGTCTCCTCCCCATTAATTCCATAAATAGTAACAAGGCCAGACCTCATTCCTTCTTGCCCTCAATAAGCATTTGGTCACACCTACAATGTTCTAGGAAACACACTAGATATTGGGAAAACACAAAAATGACCCAGATCCACCCCCACCCCCCAGGGTCTCCCAATAAAGTGGAGAAAATAGAAGAAGTATTTCTTCTAGACTTATATAATAAAGAATTCAAGAGTCACAGAGTAAAGGAGCAGTGGGCAAAGAAAAGACATTATCTTTGGGGGATGAAGCTCATCTTTTAATCCTTCTTCTTTGTCGCTGTTTGGGTCTGTTCTTTAATGCAACTAGTAGTTGTTGGGTGCTCGAAGTATGTCACACAAATAAGTTGGTGCTCTCTTTACATAATACGGGGGGTATAAAGGAGTGAGGTTGGGGGTATCAATAGAAGTGAGCACTCACGCAGGCAATGCCAATTCAGAAGATGATACGTGCCGTGCCTCCCCTCCCCTCAAAAGCTTCCCTAAGAATCCCTGACCTGTGGTTAACACCATGAATTTTCTCTGGGTCTATGGGAGCATGCACATTGCCCATTAGTTTCTGTCCATTTTTGTTTACTTGGGATTTGGGGATTTGCTCATTAACTATTCACAGTACTAAAAATAACAAATATTTGTTACAATTTACACTATTCTCCCTTTCTTAAATGTATTCACTTATTTAATCCTCACAAGAACTCTACACAGCAGATTCTAGTACTTTCCTTATTTTACAAATAAGGAAACCAAGAAATAAAAAAATAGGTCACTGAGCCAAGGTCACATAGCTATTAGGGGTTTATGCTCAGAGCCTGCCTTCCTCATCATATACCATCTCACCTCTGCTCCTCATGTAGATAGATTTCTTGTCTTACTGCTGACCGGGAAGGTGTGTGGAGGGATCCTTTAAAGGGTGGATACCGTGCCTAATGGTAGAAACACCCAGTCTAAAGTCTAATTCTGGTGAAACCCTAAGTGGCTGAGTGTTCTTGACCAAGTTAGTTAACCTCTCTCTATCTGATTTTCAAACTCTGTGAAATGTTTCTCTTCTCACTGTGACACTGTAAGGGTAAAAATAAGAGATATAAAGGGTGACCAGAAAAATACAAAACAATGACAGTTGATACTATGCTCAACGTATTCAACAATTTAGATCTATTCGAGTCATTCTCTTTACTTAACAAAAGAAAATCACATTTCAATCCTACTTTCCACCGAGACATGGAATAGCCAGCATGTTTTAAGTATACTGCAAATATTTTCACAACTATGTTCGTTTCTTCAAAGTGAATGCCTTAGAACTTGTCAATCTGTGATGGAAGCATTATATGAAAATGAATACAGAGCAGAGTTCCTATTTAATTTCTGAGCCAGAATGTTTGAAGAGGTAAAGCTTCTGAAGGCAAGCCAGAAAAAGCATTAAATGTAAGTATCCAGCCAAAGAGAACTTTGGGAGAAAAACATCGAGTTAAAAGAAAAACATCAACATCGAGTCAATAGGAAAGAATGACAGTAAACCTTCACTAAGCTTTGTTTAGGAGAGGGTAAGATGAGGCACCGAGAACTCCATGAGAACTGTTATCTTCACTGTTACATAAAATCAAAAAAAGAAGACTGTATAAACCAGGGAAGGCTTGACAGACTGCTGATGTTACAAGACTGTCAACAAATCTCTGAGACAGCAAGAATGCTCTCCAATTCTTCAAAAGTGCTGTTTTAAGAAACTTTTATTTTACTGAAAAGCACAGAACCATTAAGACTGCGTCACTAAGGATTTGCTGGGAAGTGTCTAGCGTGTGGGTACATGCAGCATGGGTCCACCTTGTTTGTCTCGAGCCAAAATAACTCACCACCTCTTCGTGGACTTGTAGTCACTGACCTCATTCTACCTCATTAGGACATCATGAGCAGAAAGAAATGTAGAATTCAATTTGAAATCAACTTATAACAAGGAGACTTCAAGATGTGGCATCTCTTTAAAAAGCTTAATACCAAAGTATGTTTTGTTCTGTTTTTGTTGATTTGAATATAGCTGACCCATGATGTTACATTAGTTTCAGGTCCAAAGTATAAGTTTTAAAAATGAATCACACATTTGCTTTGCTATGAAAGATACTGTATCTCAGCTCTATGGTTTTCCCTTAGAGGTCACCTGGGGATGACTTCCTGCTTATAATCAAATGATTTATTTCAGAATTGCCATTAACTTACTATTCCAATGTTCTCATCAGGATTTGTTGCTGCATTAGTTTCTATTTACCCTGAAACATACAGCCTATCAATTTCATCTATACATTGAATTATGTCCTTTTGCAATAAAATAGGTACAGATGTCTCTCACAAATGGAATGCCTTCCATTGTTGTACTATGGAACAAAAAATAAAAAAATGAATCTAGAGCCTGGTTCTGAATCTCATTGTGTGAAATATTCAAAATCTAATAGTGGATTGGATATACATTGCCCATTTTTTTTTTTTAATGTTATAGTTTGGGGGAAGAGTCAAAGAGGCAGATCTGTCAATCTTTGAGTATCATTTTTATTGAGCTCTAAAAGCAGCCAGTGTCCTACTGACTTTTCTTAATCTGCTTGGCTTTTATTTTCAACCATTTCTTCCTATATAGTTCACATATTTTTCACCTTATCCCAGTCTGAAATCCTATCTGGGCTTTGCTGCCAACATTTGCCTGCTTGTTCTTTTTCACAAATTGCCAACTTGTTTTTTCTTTTCCTCCCTGCTTCCTTCTTTTCTTTTGTTTTAACGTTTCCTATGTATAAAAATGGATAGTTTCCAAAAGAAAGACAATAGAAGTGTGTCTATAATGCATATTTTTTACCATCCATGTTCAGTTAAATGCTTAAAGGTGAAAACTTAAAAAGTAAAAGGCAATGATGTGTGACGGAGAAACAAAGGAAAGAAAGTGGAAGTCTCCCCACTGCCACAGAGTGCACTAAGGGTGATGGAAGGCATGCCAGATCTCCGGGAAACGGAACAGAAAAATCGTTGCCTTTTTTGTATCTGACGGCCAGCACTGTTTGTCCTTCATTTTCATGATTAATGAAAATTATCAGATCAAAGTTAGTTCTTCTCTAGTCTTTTCATATTTTCTTCTCTGTTTCTAACACTATGGTTATTTCTGTCCTCTCTTCCTGTTCAGTACACAGGCACGAAATTAGGCATCTGCCCAAATATCCACAGCATATCAGAAATCAATTACTATTCCTAATGAAACTCATCCATTACAAACTGTCCCCTTTTACTTCCAACCATATCTCCCTGGCCTGGCAACTCAAAGTTCTTTAGGTCTTTATTTGAACAGCTAACATAAAAGAGAAACTGATGCATTACGGGCAGAGAAAACTCAAGGGCATTGAAATGTACAGAGCGTGGTTGCTGAACCAAAAGCAATCCGAGCGGTCTGTTTGTGAAACTGTCACAAGGTTTAAGGGCCCTTTTAGCAAAGGTAATGCCAAGGAAATTAGATGGAAAAGTCTCCTTGTTAAAGGATGAAGCACAGTTTTTTAAAAACACAGGTCACCGTGTCCTTAAAATATATGTCTTATTTGCAGACTCTTTCAAAGGATACATTTACTGTGAAAATCGAGATACTATCATGATGGACCTTGAAGTACATGAGTACTACCTTAAAAACTGAATGTTAAGATCTTATTTATTACCAGCCTATAGTCTCCACAGACAAAGGATTCAGGGAACTGGGTTTCTAATAGCATTTTATCTCTGAAGTTCTGTGTTTAGGGGATGACTGTAAACTTAGCTCTTTAAACATGCTGCACGTTAATATTCCAAAGTTGTCTCTAGATTTTCCTTAGCAGTCTGTGTCAAGAGGGTTCTTGAGCTGTGCCTGTTTGGGAGGCGGCCTTTCTCATCGTGGCACCGTGGACTTAGGGATATAGCGGATGCGGCTATCTTTCTTGGCTTCAAGGTTATTAACATTTGAGAAAGGAAATTCAATAACCTGCTTTCACTGCACAATTTCCCTGCCAGTGCTTACCTTTATTTCTGAGGCCTCGCCAGCTTGCCTAGAACTAACTTGTATAAACACTGCAGAATGTCTACAAGTACCTTGGCAAGGCTGGTGGCGGCAGGGTGGGGTGGGGTGGGGGGGTTTCCCCTGAGACATGGCTTCTCCTTTTCTGAATCACAAATCTGCAAGCACAGTTATTTTAGTGTGTGCACATTGACTTTTCAACCATAACCGAATTGCTACATAGTTCTTGGAACTAAATCAGGAAACACTCTGTATTAATGATTTTAAATTTGGCAGTGGGAGAGTGCTACAAATGTCCAGCTACTTATGGGTAATAATTTTAAAAACAAATCAAATGATTTGAATTTAATTGTGCTTGAAGACCTCATTTCTCTAGCGCCGCCAGAGGTGAGCGGGAGACAGATGAGCTATTAGCCATAAATGGATTTTCCAAATAAGGAACTCTTTAGGTCCCATCGAAAAATTGTGTTAAGTTTTGTGAGAGTATCTCCTTCACCATAGCAATGGCTTTGCTGTCTTTATATTAGTGTCACAATTTAATTTTCCTCAATAATTGCAAATCACGTTTTTTTCTGAGTATCGATGATGGTATCATGTGGAAATACAGAGGTACCTTCAGGGATCATGGTGGTGTGATACCATTTTTGACCCTTTGGGAAAAGGAGCCAGACCTCTGAGCTTTCAGTGATTCAGGGCTACACATAACAGCTTTTCTGGTTTCTCCCTTATTGTCAAATGATATCCCTCCTCGCTCTCGGTCTCTCTGTCTAAAGTGTACCCCCAGACCCCTCTGCCATGACTCTTTCATTGCTTAAAATTGTTATGGCCTAGAAAATTAGTACAGAAAAAGAGTAGAACTATTTCTATTAACTCTGAATGAATGGGCTTAGGATGGAAGTCTGAGTCATTTCCTACGAGCAAAGTAAAAGGGTTTTATCATATGGTTTTTTGGTATCAGTCCAGTCTTCCAAGAAAGATGTGTTTGTTTGTTTTCCTTTCCTCTAGGACTTTGATGTTCTCCCCGGTTCTCTCCTAAGCTCTGAAGATGAAATGTCAGAGCCTCAACCATCTCAAAAATCGAGCTTAGTAGTTCCTATCACCACACTTTCACTTAAGCTGACTTAAGTCAGTTTTTTGGTGGCAGGGCAAAAGTTACTAAATTATTTGAATTCACATTTAAATGACAGTGCTTAAGCATACCACTGTTTCAGTATCTCTGAGTGCGGTTTTGAATTGAGCGTAATTGAGCTTTGCTAACCCTAACTTTGGTTCTACTGCCTTGTTTGGCTCTCCATATTCTGAAATGACTTTATTCATTATAGGCTACTGATAAAATCAGTGTGTGTGTGTGTGTGTGTGTTTTGGTTATAACACAAGACTGCCTAACCAACATATTCAAAAGTGAGAGAGTCTAAGCTTGATGAAATGAATTAATTAATAAGTAGCCTTCTTAAGAATTTGTTGTTCCAAGAATTTTGCTAATTTAATCAATTTATTTAACATATACATGGGAAATTCAGAAAAGATTGTATTAGTGCCAGTGAATAAAATCTACGTCTACTAAATGTATGTTCTTTGGTTGTTATCTACCATGAGGATCTCTGGAATGGACATAGTGAGATGTATAAAATATGTAAATTTGTTGCAAAAGTTTTAAAAAGCTGAGTGTGGACTCAAATACAGAAGTAATGCTAAGAAATGAATACAATACTGAAAGCACATTTACTGCACAAAAAGTAAGATCATGAATTCCACAAACATGAAATAAATGAATCATTCCAAAATTATGGCAATAAGGAACAGAATTCTGCACAGCATTGTAATTAGCTGACCTAATACTTGCACAGGAAAAAAAAAATGGTCCCATTTTAGCCATAAGTATTTGCTGCCTTAGCAACTAAATCCATTCATTTAGGGATTCAAAGTTTAGCTCAAACTTTTGGAATGTGTAATGTGTGATTCTGAAATAAAATATTAATGTTTCATTCTCAGAAAACCTGAAAAAAGGCAGCAAAAGCAATATTAGGAGTGGAGAGTAGGGCTCCACCCCAAAGGGACTTTATTAGATATTTGACTTGATTAATGTGGACAGGGAGATAATTAGGTAAACATCCATTACAGGACTTTATCAGCATTAAGTCAGCATTGTAAACTGAGCTACATAGAAAATTATCACTTATTAGTCTAAAGGAAGAGCCTAATACATTGATTCTTAGATATTTTTTTTTTTTCTAAATCTTTGAGCTATTGCGACGTCCTTTCAATGAACAGAGAACAGTTTATATTGAGGGAAATTGTAAACTAGGCTAGGCATGGATTGTTTTCAGGAACAGGATATTTTTAAAAAGTTTAAAGTAGTTAAAACATTACCAGTTCACCACTAATGTAGCAAAACTGAGTTAATGAACAGATTTTTCCTCCGAGAGACCAAAGAACTGTGTGACAGAATTCTTTTTTTGTCTGAAAAGAGTTGAATTCATCAATTGTTTTGACATTACGCAGCCAAAGTTCAAGGTGGCCACCGCACTAAGATATTATGAAATATTAGGCCATAAACCTTGTGGAACTAGGAAAAACAACTATCACAGACTCTCTTTAGCTAACTTTAAACCATACAACATGAGATAATCTTATAGACAATTATGGACAATTATATGATCAAAAATTTCTGTTCATATTCGGTTCAACCGCCAGTTTTGGGAAGAGACAAATTTTAAGAGAAAAAAAGGAATGAGAATATGTCCATTTCTATAACATGAGAAACTTGAACTACATGGTGTGTGTAGTTGAACCACTTCAACTCTAATGAATCTATCCTCCTGTGCCTTTAGTAGTTTCAAGTCACAAGGGATGCTAGGAAATTAGCAACAGTTTGTTTTGAAGATTACTTAACGGTCAGAATTTATTATTTCTAAAAACCGTGACTTCTTTGGTATTTTTATATAATTTACAGGACTAATCCTCGATTTGCAGAATTTAATAAAGTAGGTTATGCTCTTGAACTGTATCTAGCAGACAAAGCCAAAGATTTTCTTTTGAAGTTCTTAAAGTGTTTTCCCACTATTCAGATTGATTTTTCTTTTTCTGTTCTGCAGTTTTCACTCTACTTCCAGGAGAATCTGCTGTCAGGATGAAGTCAGATTCTTCCAGTGAATGCAAATCTAAAGAGCTTCCTTTCCGGGTTTTCCATTGCCATAAAGAGGATCCGACAGAATTGTCACCTACATTTTAACCACACCCCTATAATAGGCATGTAACAAATAATTCTGAGAGTCATATTAATAGCAGGGAAACAAGATGTCTGCCAACATTCTCACAGGAAGCTAGTGGTGAAAGGCGGAATAAAAGCCAGGCTTTCAGGGCACTGGCTAGGCATTCTGTGTGGTCTCCCACACTGCTTCTCTTTTGAACTTTTCAATTCCAAAGCAAAAATACCATAGCTATAATGCCACCAAGGACGTTGGCATTATACACCAACAGACCGTCCCTCTGCTCTTTCCCTGACCCTATCTAAACAACCACTGTCTCAGGGGGCATGCTGGGCTTTGTGAGGATGTCATAAAGTAGCCCTGGTAATAATCCCCCCCCCCAAATGTTGTTAGTGAGCCTGTGTTGTCTTAAATGACACGTACCGTGGCCATCATCCAGGAATTCTGTGATGGTGGCTGAGGTGCACTTGGACCAGGGCTTGGATGCATCGATGCTGGTTAGGATGGAAGACATTAAGCGCTTATCTTCTGTGGAACCAAAGTTCTCTTCACAGAATTTGGAATCATCATGGGAGAGGCCAAGGAGATGTCCTAAAGCAGAGAAGAGAAGGAGTGCAATCATGGGTGATTTCACATTTCTACTTATCCATGACAATTACATGAGCACTTGGTTTTCCACCTTGGCTCCCTCCACCCCAAACTGTCCATGAGTCCATTTTAACTGCCTTCTCATGCACAGACTGGACCCCCAGAGAAATTAAAGCTGTGTGTAGTCAGAGCAGTCACTTTGGGTGAACATTCAGGGGAAAACTGAGAAATTACACTAAGAAGTGGACATTCCCATAATCCATCTGGATCACACATGCTCAATGACATGTAGAAACAGGCCTCATTTAGAATCCAGAATTTGCAAGGAACTGTGGGATTATGTCATAACCTCACTACATATTATTTTGATTACTTGTCTAATTTTCCGCCTTCTCTGATCAACCATGAGCCCCATGAGATCAGAGAGCATCTCCTCCATCCACTGTTGAAATTTGTGTTTAACTCAATGTTCTGCAAGTTGTAAACACTTAATAGATGGTTTTTGAATATTAGTGACTTCTATTTTCTTGGTCACGTTAATGGGTAGCTAGCTATCTGAGAGATGACTAGGGGGGGAAAGAAAGAGAAATTATGAACTCGCCGATTCCAGGCAAAGGTAAGCTTGCTTTCACCCTTTCAGTTCTTTCATTTGGAAAGTTCTTCATTTTTATTAATCCCACAAATAAATAACATATTTTGAAAACATACCCATTTACATTGAGGAAATGTCTAAAACACCAAGAAGCCCATCATGGAGTGTTAGAGCTTGAAGAGAAAACAAATACTAGAAAGATAAGTCATTGTCCAAAAGCACTCAGCGAGGCGGGTGTTTCTGCTTCAGCGCACCACACATGGTTTCTGTAATCCCACGCTGCAGTTCCAGTCTATCAAGCTAGGTATCCTAACCACATTCTTATTATCAAAATTGTTTTTTATCATATAAGATTAATTTTCATATAGTCTAAGGATAAATGACATTCACTAGTAAATCTGAAATGCCAATTAAAAAAAAATTCCAGGACAGTAGTTTGTAGAGACTCTAAAAAAGCAGACAAGTAGACCTTAATTGCTTTTTTTTTTTTTTTTGGTAAAGCTTTATAGAATCATACACAAAGCATTAAAAAGGGTGTATAAAATACTACAGAAAAGTGATTAATACATTCTCTTTAGGCTCCTGTATGCCAAAAGCAGGGGCTTTTGGCCATTCTGCCAAAAAAACAACAAAAAAAAGAAAGTCCAGCATGCAATAGTAAAACTCAACAGAGATGAAATCTTTCATGCCACATTCCAACTACTTTTGGCCAACTTGTTAAATCACCAACACCTCATAACAAAATTGTCCACTGAGCAGCTGTTTGCTGTTGTGGCTGAAATTAAGTGGCTAGGGCTCGGTGACCTTCCAAAGCTCCACATTTTTATGGTATTTATGCAGTTATTTACTTCAATAGCATTTGCCAGCCTAGCAAGTTTTCGATGGGAAACCCTCCCGCTCTCACGTTTTATTTGCTCAGTAGCATAAATGTGCATCAGAGTTTGTGAAGTACATCCCAAATAACGTGCCAAAGACTGGCAGGACTTTGTCCAAGTTTTGGGTGGTATGTTAATTTTTTTCCTGCAACCCACAGCTCAGAAAAAAAACAGAAACTTTCATCATGCCCTGTTCAAAACGGCTTAAAGTTACTTAGTACATCTAACACGTGTTGAGAAGGCACTCCATGCTTCTTGAACTTTTCCACTGTTGAATCTTTATCGGCTAACATTGTGGGATTTGTGTGGAAATTTCACACTTGGGTTTTTTTCCGTGGCATAGAAAAGAGAGAGGGAAAGTGGCCTAAGGCGACCTCTGCCACGTAACATTTATTTGAATCCAGGTTTTATATTTTAGAAAAATGTGATTTTGCATTCTAGTTCATAAGATATTCATATTTATTTAATGAAGCAACAGTCTTTTCCTCCAAATGTATCTAAACACATAGCACTTTCCAGATGAGTATTTTTAAGATTTTATTTATTTATTTGAGAGAGAGCGAGAGATTGAGAGAGAGAGAGCATGAGCAGGGGGGAGGTACAGAGAGAGCGAGGGAGAGACAGACTCTCTATAGAGCAGGGAGCCTGACATAGGGCTGGAATCATGACCTGAGCTGAAGGCAGATGCTTACCCAACTGAACCACCGGGTGCTCCTAGATGAATTTTTATTATAGCATCTAAGTGATTTTCACTTCATTTGGAGGGTAAGTTTCAGATTTCTGATTTAAAATACAGGCCATGTAGCAAACACCAGATTCGCTTTAAGAAACCCGGCAGAGTACCTCAATTTTTTCTTTCATACAGAATGGCGAGGCATCTAATTTTTATAGTTTCAATTATATAAGCAAAGCCGTTTATTTAAAAATATTTTGGTACAGTTTTATGAATCTTTTGGCATGTGACTTGGCATAATATTGTGAATTTTATACTACCTAAATTTACTAATTTATCAATGTAACTTAATTGCTGCCAAAGATAACGTGTAAGAAATTTTTATATGGCACCCAGAAAAGATTGCCATTCTGAGCATGAACAAATCTTAGTTCCACCTCAGCAAGAGCTAAAAGAAGATGTGAATTTTGTCAGGTCTGCAAAAGTGAGTCAGGAATGGGCTGCTTAAGGGTCAACTGAGAGACAGACTCTTTGGAGGAATGTTTTGTTTTCCATGAAGAAAGTCTGTCAGCTGGCTGGGAGAGGCATACTCTCTCAAGGATAACGGGAGTCATGGTCAATGCGAAGAACATTTAAGCACCCATGGAAACAGGCAGCTGGTTCCGGTAGCTGGAACCAGGGCACAGTGAGAGAGACCCATGTGACTTCCCTTCAGGAGCTGGACAGGAATAAAATGGAAGATCAGTGTGAGGAATGTTTGGATGCTCTTCAGGAGAGACGTGACAGCCATACTAAGGGCTGGGAACAGCAAAAGAGGTGGTTATTTTCAAATGTGATCACCCAATCATGACGTTAAGACATCTAATGTCAGTCTGAAATGCCCATATCTTTGAGCCCTGAAATGGCAAGGGACATATAAAAGCACAAGCTATTTTAAAAGGACACTCACATTAGAGAAAACACACTATGAGACTAAAAGCTCATGAACTGAAAAATCCAGAATCCAGGAAATTTAAAATATAATGTTGTAGCTGACAATAATACAGTTCGAGTCGGTGTTGTGAAAGGCTTAATCAGAATGCATCATGATGTTACGGCTCTCCTAGGACAACCGCCTTTTCCAGTGAGAGTTGGTTGATCAATCACCCACAGAGATGTTTAAAATTACAGGTGTGGGTTGGAAACTAAGCATTTCTCCGCTAAGCAGGCTCTAGCAGGATTAGCACAGATGGGATTTACACAAATGTGTGCCAGAGAATAAGACAGCACATGAAGAATATAAGGGATTGTTGGAGACAATGTTTACAACCCCTAAACTAACTTGTTTTATCGAGATGTATCTCATGATGAGTTTTTGGAATGATACAGAGCAGAGTTAGTTGAGGGGTGAGGTCCTTGGAGGAGGCGGGGTGACAGAGTCAAGAAACCCACAGAGAAAGGCAATTCAGGTATTTCTTTCTCGGATCCATGTAGAAAAGAAGAGTGAAGGGGAGTCAGAGCAGTTTTGAAGGTAAGAGTTTTGAAGAAGCTCAGCCAAGCTCAGACAGTAAAACCCCTCCTGAGAAGAGACAATGCAGATACTAGATTTAAGGCAACAATTTCCTGTCAGGGTTTCAAGTAGAGGCCTCAAGGTCTCCCTCTAAGGAAGAATTAGTATTTGTATTTGGAAGAATTAGTATGTGTATTTGTATTCATGTTTTTATTTGCAGGTATTAGTATTTTGTAATTAGTCACATGCAAAAGATTGAAGAGCAGTTTGTTTGCTTTAAGCAATCTTGCTCAGGATGCTATCTTTCTTAGTCAATCTTTAATTCTTGATTGATGTAATTGGAAACTTCTCACCTCAAATCCTGAGGCAATGAAGGAACAAACACACTCGAGTAGTGGGTGCACTTGTTAATGGCATTTGTATTTATATACGCAATAAGAAAATAAAAGGTATTACAGGAGTCAGGGAAACTCAGAGAATAATGCAACTGTGTAATCCAGTATTTTCCCAGGTGATGCAGACCTCAAAACTCTATCTTGCTTTTTGAAATCATTATTAAAAATCAAGATGTAAATTGCACTTTTGGAGAAAATACTGATCTATTCTTAATAGATATTAAATCGTATCACAAATAGAACAGTCTTGCTAATGAGTGCCCATCACACAAAGTGACATCAAGAAGGAATTTCTTTGGATTACATTAAGGACATGAGTTTCACAATAAATTATGTCAAAGCAAAGTCTATAGGGTAAGCGTTTGAATTATATCATTATCTCAGAATTAGCAAATAATTAGTCACCCAGTAATTTCTCTAGTATGATAATCGTCTTTTTAAAGGTCAATGGGTGACATTTCATTAAATACATTTCATCTCTGATATTCACAATCTAGACTTAAAAAGTATCTTGCCTCCTTAAATTCACAAATGAATCATGTTAAAAAATCTGAGATCATGTACACCAGGTGAAGACACATTACTATAAAGGAAAAAACTGGTCCAGCTCCTTATTCAGCTCAGGTATTACTATACCACGAGGGCTGACTTATCACATTAACCTCAGGAAGGAAATTAACTTGTTTTTCTAAACTTTGGTCTGAAAATTAAACAGAATTTCAAACTCTTGTCTCTTGACCCCAAACTGACCAATGAACAAAGGGACACAGCACCACATCCTAAAAAAATAGTCACAAGAAGCTCTGTAATGTGTTTACTTAAGAAAGCACTGCTCAGATGAAGCATCTGTTTCTTAATGAAGTCATGTTTTTATTTTACCTAATTTTCCAGCTGGGATTATTGAGGTGTAAGAAGGTCTTGCCAGGGGTTGAAGAGGGAGCCAACAGCTCACATGGGATCAGAATCCAGAATCCTTGAA